GACCGGAATCCAGTCAAGAAGCGTGCGCTGAGCCTCGGCACTTAGCGCAATCCTGACACCAGCAACACCGCGAGCTTCGGATGCCGATTCGTCTGATACACGAAGGGTGAAGCGTGAGGTTGAGGTTGGTTCAGNAGAGTTTTAGCCAGGGCAGCTTGTTGGCCAATCTGATAGCGCGTGCGGACATTGTATGCGGCTAAGTGAAAAGGGGATTTTGGCTTTAAAAATCCTATAGCTTCTGATTGTCTGGTCTTGTTTGTAAAACACTGATTGATATTCGATGAGTGGCATGATCAGGAGGCATATGGGGTTATTCGGGATTGAGAAGAAGAACTGGACAGATGGGAAAGATGATTGTCCAAATGGGTGCCCAAGACTTTATGGCGCGACATATTTCGCGATAGCCCATACCGAGGAAGTAGTTTTTCTTTGGGAACCCTAACCGGAGCCTTCGACTCAAGAGTCTGACCCGCAAGGCAGCGAGAATTTGTGAACGGACACCTTAGTAGGTGTTCGTAAATAGCTAGAGATTGCTTCACTGAATAATCTATCCTGAACAATCAGCGATGATGTGTGAGAATTTAGCGCGTTTTCGCCTGGCAAGTATTCTGTGTAATTCAAAGCGATCAATTTCCGTGGCAGTCATCATAGAGTGGAAGGTATCTGGTTTGCCACGAAAAAAAACTATCGCCTTACTGGTCGCACTTAGCTTTACACAGGCTGGATGTGCACTCTCGAAATTAAACACCGAGGCATACGGTAGATGTCACTTTACACCATAGTTGCCAAATTCCACTTAGATTCGTCCATGAAACCGACTCAACCTCAGTGAGATGCGAGTTGCCCCAAAGTAAATAAAACGAGCCGCATTTGCCGCACACCCTTCACTTGCGTTTTGCTTCATGTTGTAATCAATCACCTTGTCTGCTCAGAGCTATGTGGATGTTGCTACTCAGTTTTAAAGTTCTACTCAAAGCTAGATTGTGCGCCCTCTGTTTCTCCTGTTTTTCAAAATTAGTTTGATACGTCTAAATGAACTTAAGGGACTCTCCCTTATATTTTTCTGATGTTATTATGTATAAACATCATTTTGGTGGCTACGATGTTTTTCTCTGAGTAGAGATTGTCGTTGGCTTTGTTTTGCTTGTTCTGATCAGTCGTTGTAACCACAGAATAAACACGCTCCTCGTGGTTCATTTTCAATCTACAGCAACAGTAGTCAATCTTACGGGAGATATGACTAGTTCGATGGTAGAAAAACTTCAATTCCAGTAAAACAAATATGATCTTCCATGCGCCTCATCCGGTCACGTAATAGCCAAGTGATGCCAAAAGTCATGATGAAATTCGCAATCTTATCGCCTATTTACCGAAAGTCGCTGTATGTAAAATCGTTTTACTTTTTTCTCCTTCCGGTTCGCCTGTGGTGACAATTTTCGCTCTCCCTTCCTCATTTGCACACAGATCCACGTTGCGCGAGCTGGTCACTTGTTTACTCACAACTCTGATGACCATCTCGGTTCAGTCAGAAGCTTCGAAAGACACGGAGAACCGGGCAACAACGGACAGTGCGTTAAAGCGTGGGCTTCGTACACTGATCACGAACAGTGAAGCACTGCCCACATTCCAAATGGCTGTCATGCATCTGACCGCGCTCAGGGAGATGTTCGCCCGGATACCGTATATTACTCGTCACATGAAAGATTCATCCAGTCTGTCTTTGATCACTTTCTTGTGGAAATCGGATCCAGTCTCACCGACCTGCGATGATCAGCACCCATCGGCTACGGAAAAAGCTCTGTCAGATACGGCTATTGTCAAACAAGATGAAATCCCGGGTGAACTAATGGAATATTGCCTCACCTTTTTGGAGGTGGTGTACGAGGCGGTGGAGAACCAAAATGAGGCCGTTTCATCCACTGAGGTAGTGCTTTGACGGATTTCGTCGTTTTGTTTTGTTTTTCCAAATCTCTCTTGTCCTTAGTTCGTGTTTCAGAAATCGGTTCGATCACATGATTGCTTACATGAAAAGTTAGCGAAATTATATTCTAACTTCTTAACCACCTTTATTATGAGTCACTTTATTATAAAATGCTTTTGTCCACTGATAGACTATCGTTCATATCACCTTCCTTTAGAGAACAGTGATACTTTGTTTAAGAAAGAAATTGCTGTTAAATTTAACATTGTTTTCTATCTAACTTCCAGCGTTTCTTTGACCTTTGCATCTCCCTATTTTTCTCCCTTCATGTCGACATTACACAGGATGAAGCACTCGTAGAGACGTCAGTTCTGCCAAGCACATCCACCGATTCGGCTGCGTTAGGTCTCCTACAGTCCGCGTTGTTCTCAAAAGATTGCAGTACCGGCTTATTGAACGGGTCCGGTGCCACTTGTCTGTCCAGTTGGTCCCCATTGCTAGACGCAGAGTTGAGGCTAGACTGTATCGGTGATCCGTGGCAAGATATGGAAGTTCTGATTGTTCAAACGTGCCTTCGCCTTCCTCGAATTTTGCTGCTGTTATTGGATTCCGGTGCAGCCGGGCGTCTGATCAGTCGAATGTCCTCACGCAAAACCACCAGTCTCCCAGCTGAGATGGAGAGCCGTTGGTGTTCTGTCCTGTACAACTACATGGAGCTGATCACCAATCCAGAACTATCGAATCTCAACAAAGGTAGCGCTTTAGTACAAACCAATCATGCAGTTCGTCTCGGTTTTCTAGATCGATCCTATCCACATGACAAGGAAATGGCTGAGCGCTTTGAAAGTTTAATACGATCGGTAAGTTTCAATCAAATAACTATCCATGCCGTGTAAAGTACCTTTTTCAATTGGCGCCCATTTTCTCCCCGTTTATAGTCCTTGTATGCGGGAAAAATCACAGTCACACTTTGTCCTCACGCTCGTTTTTCTTCAAACTCCTTCAGTCGGAACATGGGCCGAAAACAAAGTAAAATAAAGAATAGGCCACCTTGAGTTTAAACGTCTACAATAGTAGTGTCTGTTGCGTTAGTTGTATTCTTATTTCAATCTATATTCGATTTTTTTCGCCTTTATTCTCGCTCTGATTTTCTCTCCGCTCACTTGATTCTCACTGAGAGTGCTTATCCAGAGACCTGGTTTAACCCTCACTGCCGCACTACAGCAGGATCATAGTAACAGGATTTGTTACGCACAGGTAACCGGATGTAAATGAATCCTCACAATTTCTTTTTGATCAAGAATAGTGTGAATATGAAGTGGATTGGTGGTCACGCAGTATGATTCTCGAGCTGAGGTGATCCAAATGTTATCGATATCCGCCACTCACGATCGTTTTTTACTTCTAAGTTTACCTTTGTGATTACACTTCTGACCGTCTTCCTCAACGGGACTCTCTTTGATTTGGCCAAGTGTGAGCATCTCCTATCGTGAGAAGACGGAGCCGAACGATTGGGAATATTTTGGATGCTAAGTCAGTAGGGCTGTTGCCTCTGTATTTAGTATAGATTGTTGTATCACCTTGGTAGTCGGAAGAGTGAATGAAGTGCCCTAATCAATTGGAAATACCTCACTGTGCTTAGAGAAGATCTGTTGAATTCTATCTTCCTCAGGGGCTACCACATTGTTCAGTTTAATTGCCACTACAGTGCTTGATCTGCTAGACTCTTCGCAAGTCGTATGGTACGGATGCGATTGGTGACTCCGGATTTGGGTCTCTACGCGCTATATAGGTCGGTTTAATGGCGTGTTAAAGTGTTCGACCACTTGTTGTATGTTGCCGACCTGGTTCGGAATAAGCCGTTTGCGTTCTTCCGGCAGCGAAATTCAATGCCCACTGAATAAAGCAAAAAGTTTGCCGGAGTCTCCTACGTGGAACAACGTAGTTTCAACTTCTTCCGCTATTTGGGATCGGTATTTGTGGAGTGACTTGTTGATGAGGGCTTCCGCAGTTAGTTGATTTATGCTTGCTTCCTTTGATTTGGTTTATAAATGCAACTTTCCAATCCGTTTGACACCATGAAGAAACTCGACACTGTTGTTTTTGGGGTTTTCAGCATACCACTGGTGTTCAGCTGATTCTGTACTGCTCTACATAACTGGATTACTGATCAAACGCTCGTTTACTGCAGCTGTATGTGTGTGTATGTGTGCATATATTGGCCTTACTCACCTACTCCACTGAAATCTGAAGATCTTAGTTACTATCTTGTGTTGTAGTCCACGGGCTTTGTCCACTATTTCATTCTGGTAGCTATCAAAAACTGAGAAGTGGGTGCCAGATCCAGACCAAAGGTAACTGAATGAACCTATTGAGGTATTCTCGATTTATTTCACAGAAGTGCAACCCCCAGCTGATATCTCATCTCTACCTACCCTACTACTCTAGCAAGCTTGTTGCATTATCTAATTCTGCCTATATTCTGGTTTGTCATAAACCATAAACCCATATTACCCTCCTGAACTTCAGCCATGTTGAATTTTTGTGATGATCTCACGTTCTGAAGACAGCAATAAGTCGCTCTCAATTTTCAACTGTCTGTAATCTCACTCATTCCTTCTCTCGATGCGGTGAGATTCGCACTAAGGGAAAAATCATGCCGGATACATAGTGGTTAGCAAATATGCAAGATTCACGGAAACTGAGCGGTCACTGTTGGTTTTTCTCTGTATCTTGTCTACTCATCAGTAGGTTCCGTGAACTGATTCTCTCTTGCTCTCTGTCTCCCTCCCTCCCTCTACCTTTTTTCACTTAGCTCCTAGTAAGAATTGTCGGCCCTAAGCATTATCGCCAGCTGCAGGACATTCATCGACTGGCACATTGGATACAACGCGCGCGAGACACGTGTGTGAATGTAGGCGGTTTTCTCAGCTCACCTCAACAACAACAACGACAAGTGCAGCAGCAGTCGTCGCAGCAATCACAAACACCGCAACAACAACAACAACAACAACAACCAGCTTCGTCCTACGTCCCTCAAATGCTTCGACTAAACTCACCGACTGGTTTTGATGCTGTCGCGATGCAAAGCCTAGAACCGTTTTCCACACAGTTACGTCTACCGTATAACGCCCAACGCGAAATTGTGAGTTTTACCTTTTGATCATGCACTCTAAGGCTTTTAATTGTTTGTTAATGGTGATTTTCTCTAGTTCACCCTATCCTTAAATTAGCATGTTTTTATCCCCCTCCTACTCTCCCCCAACATCGGAGGATCGGATGCAATATTGTAGTGAATTTCGTTGTGCATGGAGTTGATGAAGCGTGAACTAAAAAGCTAGAAAGCAGTAGATAACCGTTTCGATCTGGTTGGCACTTCCTCACTTGCCTCCAGGGTTATGATTGGGTTAGAAACATTCCAAGCATCTCGTACTGGGGGGATACGGATGGTGCGATGCGTGCAATCAGCTCGCAAAGATGAGTTGTGCCATGTCGTATTTGAGGACGATGACAAACGGTCCGATGAGCTGCCAGGTGGTCGAGTGGGTAGTATGATTGCCTTCTACCTGGGTTCGACCCTCAGTCAGGTCGACATATTCGCTCACTGCTGATGAGACCCAACCCAGTCGGAACACCTGTTCAGTGCACGACGAAATCCACTATATAGTTCAATGTCATTCGGCTTCCTCGGTGCAATGTTTCGTGATGTTCTTGAAATCTCAGGAGGTGTTTTCTACAAACCTTGCCCCGTGCCCGGCGTCATTCAACCATTGCACAATCAAGTACAAACTGCAAGTTTGCGGTGTTTTGCTGCATAGCTGCAGACGGCTCCCTAAGAGCTAAATTGCAACCCAGATATTTGGACAGATCTGCCTCATTATCATCATCAATAGTGAGTGTCACTACTATGGTATTGGGTTGTGCTGTGTCGGTTCGTCTTTTGGACACGCTGTCTCACGCCATTTCTATGTTACTGTGCCAGTGTGTTTTATCTGTGTTGTGTGTAACTCTGTAAGTGATTGTGAAGGACAGTAAATTGGTGTTGGCTATTCTACTCGACCCACAATGTCCATCTCTGCAGAAAAGCTAAAGTCTATCTTGTAACACCAGCAGTCCCAGTTGGAAGCAATGTTTCGCTCATTCAACCCTCAGGTACCCAACATTACGGGAACTAGACAAATCACGCAAGCAGAGGTGATTGTGTGTGTGTGTGTGTGCGATTGTTGTTCACCCGATGGAAAGATATCTTCCGGGTTAAACTTGCCAATGAACATGACAATTGGAAAGTCCGATTGCTCATACGTAAACTGGGTGCCAAAGGACATGAGCGCTACAAGTACAATATCCTACCCAAATATCCTAGCAACTTCACGTTTGATAAGACGATGAAGCAACTGTCGGAGACGTTCGGCAAGAAGATAATGCTTCAACATTTGTTATCAATGCCTGAAGCTGGTCAAGAATGACTTTGACGATTTCCAAACTTACGCCAGCTGTGTCAGTCGGGAGGGTAAGATTCCAGATACTCTCTGGGACAGAGATATTTGTGTTGGCTTCAGTCATCCCGAGACGCCGAAATCAGAATACCATGGGACAAGATCCAAATGAAAACCTGAAAAAGTTGATCACTGAGTGCCAAAGAATCTTGAATCTATAGCACAACTCTGATCTCGTAGTAGATCTCGTTCACGTCTTAGGGAATGATCATCTCTGGGTTTCATATTCTGTATCACTGAGGATTTTCTCCCTCGGTAACGTAGATCTGGCTTGGTCCAATTGCCGAATGGTTTACCCGGGTTTGTTAGGCATTGCGTGAATTAACTTTTTGAATTGGCGAGAATGCAATACTGCACAACGTCAGAAGTGCTACTGTCCTCAGATATCTCCAGTACTCTCAGTTTCTGTTATAAATGGCTCCTGGTTTCCGAATTTTGCGATTGGAATATTTCAAGTCTACACTATATTGTTTGTCATCAGTTTTCCCTCATGTGAATACATTGCCCTAATACTAGGGTATCATCGCAATTTTGGCTTCCTCTATTCCGTTGCATCATCCTCAGTCTTATGATAAATCAATGTGTCGTTCATTGGGCTTCACTAATGATTTGCTCCCTTTTATCATTTGACTCCTCGTTTTTCCTATTCTAGTTGCATACCATTTCTTCGTGCTTGTCAATCGCTTACAATCGGCCACATTGCTGGCAGCGTTTCTGTCTCAAATGTCCAGGTAAGCAGTCGGTGCATAATGAATATGTTCACTCCTCTTCGGTACGGTTTTATCATGGATTCCGGTAACTATATGCCGAGCTGCGTTTTTCCTTACAATTCAAAGTATCGCCTTTGCACGTCAAGTTCTCGGGTTCCAATCCCTTTTTCGGGGGTCCGTGTACGCTTATGTTGTGCCTGTGCTCATTTCTCTCGACCACGAAAGCCGAAAAATACTCAAAACAATTAACCGCAGAATTTCTCGATGCATATATCCCACCCAGTCTTCATAAAGGATTACACAAATACGTTCTCTACCTCCGAATAAATCATGGCGTATTACAATCTGGATAGCCAGCGGTACTGGAAATACCATGTGAATAATGAAACTATCCTGAGTCAACCTCATTTACTCTCCACCTGCATCACAATTAGGTTGCCACTGTGGCTGTTACGGGCAAAAGGTCCCTGAAGACGGACGTCATCGGTGGTGGTGACGGTGTTCATTACAGCTCGCACAGTTCACCTCAAATCATTCTTTTTGCTCTGCCCGTGGAATCACTTGTGCTCTGAATATCATTGTCCATCCCAAATCTATCGGATATCTTTACATAGTCCCACATTCCTCCATGTGTAACTCAACTGAGAGAGATATTCATCGTTGTTTGGTACTGGTGATCATGAAGTGTTCTCCCAAAGGTTCATCGACCAGATATTTATGTCCTGATGTGTATGTCGACTAAGAAACTATAAATCTTTTCTTTTGAGTACTTGACAGTGGTCAATTTTCGTCTTTACTGTGCTTCAAGTTTTCTCTGTCTATTCTTTTTCTTCCCGACCCACTCACCCCCTCTCCGTACTCAGATACGCTCATATTTTTGGCCCACGCCAGTCTAGTTCTGGATCGAGAAATCTCTCGAAATATGTTAATTCTTATTCAGTTGGCAGTTGCTTCGTCTACTATCAGCGCAAATCAATGCCAAGATCCATCCGTCAAGGTGAGTAAACTGTGTACCATTATCCCCCCCCCCCACTGCTAGCGGTTTACTGTCATGTGTCGTTTGAATGTACAAGTTAGACTCAGCCGACACACACTTGATGTACTGTTTGCTTGTAACGCGACCAATTTTCGGCATATATGAACACCGCTTATTTTTCCTATCTAGGGCCCCCAAGTATCGAGGTCGGATGGCGTTTCACACACGGCCGAAATGCGACTGGCACTTAGCATGGCTCGACACTTGATTCCCACTCCTTCCGCTCGCGTTTCCACTAGCGGTTCGGATGCGCTTCCCGATCAACCCGCAGGCCTGACCTCAACCGTACAGCCCCTGCTCGTTTCACCACTTCTATTCCAATTTATTCGGGTTTTCCTTTGCCATTGTCCGGATTCGACAATTAGAACCTCCGCTATGCATGTGGTGCGCGCAATCTACAAGTAGGTTATCAACTGAATACGATACTCTCTCCATTCCCCCCTCCCTCCATGTGAATTTGCGGTTTCTATTGGTGCACTTCAACTGTTCGCTCGTATTTTCAATACCTCTATCAAATCTCCTCCTCCTCCTCCACCCTCCATCCCCACCCCCCCATCTTGCCTGACAGATCAATGTCATCACAAACACAACGCCGTTTGTTACAAGTGATGCCTCTAATTTGGCCCGAACTGTCCACATTCGCTCCGTATGCGACTCAGTTCGTTCGATTGACCACCGAAATGCTCATCGATCATCCGACTTGGTCGGGACGACCGGCTTTCCTGTACCGTGTAGTTCAGCTAATGCTTCGACGTTTGGAAGCAGTGCGACGTCATCCCCGCCGAACAGTGTATACCAGCATTATGGTAAGTGGAAGGTTGGCTTGAATCTTAAAATTTACCGTTGGTTCATCTACACCATCCTTTTAGTAACTAGATTTGCGTTGAGAAAAACTTTTCCCACACCGGTCTGCTTCGAATGTGAGATTAAGTCAGATCCTTCGACTTCTTCCATCCATAAAAAGTCAGAATATGCAACGAATTTGTTTCTGATATACCGCTCGACTTTTTTCTTTGAAGCTTCACCTTTCGCTCATGGCTAGTCATCTACTACCGGTTGGATAACAGAATACTGGACTTGAGCGGTGGTGGCCCGGTGGTACTTTCACCAAGTTACCACCTCGGGGGACGTGTTTTTGAACCCCACCACCATCGCCTGACTTTCCCCATCACCGCTTCTTCTTCCTGAAAATTGTATCATGGTGTATTCAATAAAAGGAAGAAAAATTAATGAGAGAAGTGCGCCGTATTTGCGCATTGTATGATTTTTTCTATAGGTATTCATCGCTTTGCATCACAAAGAGACGATTTTTCCGGCGAAATCCAATCACATCCTCAACCACCATCACGGAATGTTCTTAACTACTTATTCAATGAGTATATTATCCTCGTTTTTACTAATGACCTCCAGAGCGATCGTCTTACCTTCCGTAACATGAAAACCTGCCCATTTTTTTTCTATTTTTCATAATGTTTTCAGCATTTGGTCCAACCTCCACGAGACAACCCACCTCAGATTACTGCAGATGTCACCACATTACGCCGTATCATCCCGGAACTAACGACGCAGAGGTCGACCCTCACAGCTGAGGCTGCTGTTTCGCGTTCTTGGTCTGCTGTGGCCAGTCTTAAGCCACCTCCACCGCCACCTACCTCAGCACCCACCGCCCAAATCAGTAATTCCGTCACACCGGTTTCCACACCGACCACTGAAGTTTCCAATACAGACACAGATCATACAACCGAAAACGATGAACTCGGTCTTGGCGGTCTGGGGTGCGTGTTGGAACTCGAACCGTGTCTGATGTGTCATTCAAAGGCTGTGGAAGAACCATCTTATGTAATCCTACGCTGGGACTCGGAACCAGGCAGTTCACGTTTACCAGTTCGAGTGGTTCATTTCGTCATACCGACACACTACGGGAAATTCGTGAGCCATTTAGAACAAGCTCTGTCTCAGCAGCAACAGTTACTGGGCAAGCAGAGTACTTCTACCTCTTCTGCGAACCCTTCGACTCCCGGTAAGTAAACCACAGGATTTCGTTGATATGTTTTAACAATCTTAGAATTTGCGCCCTTGTTTCAATGTGACCTGACAACAATTGCTCGTGTTACCGCTTCTAGCCGTGTCCGGTCAGCAAGCCGGCACAATCGGAATTACTCCAACAAGCGGTAATCATTCAACCACTACTGTGCCACCGGCTATAACCAGCTCTGTGCCTGTGTCCGGCTCGTCTTCTGCA